GGGAGAAGGGTGCAACAATGAATGAATGGAATCCCAAAATCTCTGTAGATGTTCATTGAAATGAAAAATAAACAACCTAAATTTAAAAAAATAGCATTGAAATGAAAAATAAACAACCTAAATTAAAAAAAAAAAATAAGGCCCCAGGAATCAATAGATTCCTATTGACATGTTTCAAAATAACAGGTATACCTTTGGACGTGTTCACCAGTCCATGCCTGGAAATTTGGAGGATAGCTGCCTGGTTGACTGACTGGAAGAGATCAAGATTTGTTCTAATTCCCAATAAAGGTTATCTTAAGAGAATGTGGAAATTATTGAACAATGTATTTTTCCCTTTTATATTTTTAAAAATTTTTTCACTGTTGCACATTTCATCCCCACCTCCATTCCCTCTCCCCCCTTCCACCCTACAATGTATGCCCTTGTTCCTGATTGTCATCATATATATAGTGCCCAATTATATATTCCTTTTGGTTAATTTTTCCCTTCATCTAATCTAATGCAGTGTTCATTATCTATCTTCTCCTTTCCCATCCTCTCCGTAAAGTCCTATGTCTGTCCTTTTTGATAACAGCAGTGTTACACATTCTTTGTCCTTTTGTGATAGATATTTCACTCAGCATAATGCCCTCGAGGTTCCCTCATGTTGTGTAATGTTTTACAAGTTCATTGTTTTTCAGTGCTGCATAATATTCCATTGTGTGACTGTACCATGGTTTTTCTATCCATTCATTTGTTGATGGGGTTGCTTCCATCTCTTTGCTATTGTGAACAATACAGCAATAAAGATGGATGTGCATACATCTGTTTAGGTTGTGTCTCTGGTTTCTTTAGGGTATATTCTTGGTTGTGGAGTTGCTGGATCAAATGTATTTCTGTTTACAATTTTTTGAAAAAGCACCAGACTGCTTTCCATAGTGGTTACACCACTTTACATCCCTGTCAGCAGTGAATAGGAGCCCCAATAAAACCACAGCCTCACTTGCATTTTTTGTTTGCTGCCCTGTTGAACTTTTCTGTTGTTGCTCGTATGAGATGTTTTGAATGAATATCATTTTTGTAATCACTTTCTTGATTTTAAACCTTACAGTGTTCATTGTTTCATTCAGACAGTGTCTTCTTGGTCTAGGTATAGATTTTGTATTAATACAATTAAAGTGTTATGGGAGTCCCATTCTTCTCAATGTTAGCCATAGTTTATTGTGATGCACACATCAAATGCTTTTGCATAGTAAATAAAAAGGAAATACACATCCTTCAGCCAGGATGCATCTGACATCAGCAGTGTTATCCCTTGTACCATACCCTCTATCTAAACTCAGTTTGAACATCTGGCAGTTCCTTGTCAATGTACTGTTTCAGCCCTTTTTGGATGATCTTCAGCAATATTTTGCTGCTTCTTGTTGTTAGGTGCCATCGAGTCACCTGCAACTCGTAGTGACCCTATCTACAACAGCTCTGAAGCCTGCCCTATCCTGAGCCAGTCTCACTGACTCTGACATACCTAATCGCATCATTCCAATTATTGTCAATCCATTTGATCCAGATCTTCCTCTCTTGTGCTGTCCCTCCACCCTGCTGAGCATGATGTCCTCCTCCAGGGACTGATCCCTCCTGGTCATGTGCCCACAGTATGTGAGATAGAGATTAAAAATCCTTGCTTCCAACCTGAAACTTGGTTTCACCCTTTTCAAGACAGACCTATGTGTTCTCCTGGCTGTCAATGGTATGTTTAATACTCTTGTGTAGTACCACAGCTCAAAGGAAACAATTTTTATTTTGTCATCCTTAGTTATTGTCCAGCTCTTTGATATAAAGCATGTAATTTTGAAGATCATGGCCTGGATCAGGCACATTTTAGTCTCTAAACTGACATCATTGCTCCTTAGCACTCTGGATGGGTCCTTCACAGCTGCCCCAATGCAGTTAGTTAGTCTTTTGATTTCCTGACTGCTGGTGCCAAGAGTGTTAATTGTAGAGCCAAGCAAGTTGTAATTATCAACAATCTCAATCTCTTCTCCATCCACCATGAAGCTGCCAGTTGACCCAGTGGTGAGAATCTTGGTTTCTTGATGTTGAGTTTCAACTCATATTGAAGACTATAGTCCTTGAACTTCTGCAGTATGTACTTCAAGTCTTCCTTAGTTTTGGCAAGCAAGGCTGTTGACTAGTCTTCCTCCAATGCTGATGCCACATTCCTCCTCATTAAGTCTGGCCTCTTGAATGATCTGTTATGCATATAGATTTAAGTGATATTAATGATACTGTTTTATAATTTCCACATTCTGTTGGATCAACTTTCTTGGGAATGGAAACAAATCTCTTCCAGTCGGTTGGCTAAGAATTTGGCATCAGGATCAGAGGAATACTCATCAACAACTTGTATTGTGCAAGTGACACAGTCTTGCTAGCTGAAAGCAAAGAGGACCTGAATCACTTAGGACAGAAGATCAAAGACTACAGCCTTCAATATGCATTGCATCTTAACAGCAAGAAAACAAATGTCCTAAAAGAAAAAGAAAACAAAGGTCTTCAACCTTGGACCAGTGAGCAACGTTGTACTAGAGAACGAATTGAAAGTGTTAATGATTTAATCTTGTTTAGATTCATCTTCCATATCTGTGGTACCAGCAGTCAGGAGACATATTGCTTTGGGCAAGTCTGTTATCAGGGACCTCGCTAAAATACTGAAAAGCAATGATGTCAGTTTCAAGACTAAGGTGTCAAGCCATGGTCTTTTTCATTACTTAGTATGCACCTGAGATCTAGACAGTGAATAAGAATGACAGAAGAAGAATTGATGCCTTTGAGTGGTGATGTTGGAGAGCTGAACATCTCATGGACTGCCAAAAGAACAAATAACGTCTTAGAAAAGGTGCAACCAGTGTGCTCCCTTGAAGCAAGGATGGTAAAACAAGTATCTTGTATTTTTGACATGTTGCTAGGAGAGGATATTTCTTGGAAAGTGATCTCAGGCTTGGAAGGGTAAGGGATGAGTGAAAGAGAAGACCTCCATCAGGATGGATTGACAAGATGACTGTAGCCATGGGCTGAAGTAGGCTAGAGATTTTGAGGATGTCACAAGGTGGGACAGGGTTCAGTCATATCTGTTGTTCATAGGGTTGCTATGAGTCATATTCTACTTGATAGCACCTGCCACAACTACACTGGGTTTGTTGGGGAGTTCTGGTGATTTAATGATAAGGAATTGCACTGCCAACCCAAAGGTATACGATTCAGATCCACCAGCTGCTCTGCAAGAGAAAATGGACAGTCTCCTCCAATGTGATTTACTGCCTCTGAAAACCTGCTGGAGTATCATCTAGGAGTGTATGTGCAACAAGAGCAACAGTGTGGATGGAGGAGCTCTAAAGTAGTAGGGGCTTGTACTGCTATCTCAAAGGCCTCTCCTTTTTGCTGATTTGAATCCATTCTTCCCAAGTGATTTACAATCTTGGAAACCCATTGGAGGTTCAACCATGAGTTGATCCAACTGATTAGAGGGCAATGCATTTGCATTTTTTAGTGGGTAAGGAGAGTTTTTGTTTTGCACTTACATGGTGGCTAAAGAATGGAATTCTGATGGACTGTAGGAGTTGTACTAGTAACTGAAAGGTCAAACCCTTTTGATAGTTTGAATCCATAGGTGTCTTTTTTTTTTAAAAAGAAGATGAATAGTCTCCACCTATGAGATTTCCAACCTCCCAAAGACCTGGAGGGTCAGCTATGAGTTTGATCTGCCTCATGGGGGTGAGAGTGAGCAAGTGATGCTAATGATGTTGATTATCTTTTCATGTGTATGTTGACAATTTGTGTACCATATATTTAGAAAAATAAATGCACTTCTATGTTTGTTTGCCAGTCACTATTCAGATTTTTAGGTTGTTGTGGTTCTCCCCCCCCCCACTCCCGCCCTTAAATATCTTTGGGCTTTAGGGGAAGGTCTTTACCCCTTTTCAGCTTTCATTCCCTGATTCTTTGGTGTTCTTAATGTGCTTGCCTTTCTGTGCTTTTTGCTTCTGTACCTAATCTTTTTTGCTTTTTCATGTCCCAGACATGATTTGTTTAAAACACACCCTAGATTCATTTCGCCTCATTAACTTAACAGTGGAAACAGTATTCTCAAATAGGGTCGTACCAGCAGGGATATGGGTAAAGTTTTACAGCACCTGTTTTTTAAGTCAAGCAAATGCAGTTTATAGCACTCCTGGTCCATTTTGTCTTCCTTAACTCATTTGAACTAGAGTACTTGTACTGGGCTGCCCACTTCCAAGGACTGACTCATTCCTCTAACACCCTGTATTATGCAGCTCCATAGTACCTACTCTTCTTACTTCACTCAGGCTTCAGCATTTTATGGAAAGGGTCTACCTGTGAAAAAAACTGTTTTTATCCTACTTGGACTCTGAGATCCCCTGCTGTATTAATACTCCAGTGTGTAGACATAGCCTTTCGACAGCCAGGCTCTGATACCCCATTCTTTGCTGCCACAATCATGTGTTGCTCAGCTCTCCCCTTAATGGCATTTGGACTGAGAGAAGGGCTTCCATTTTTGTTTTTTGGTGTTTTTTTTTTTCCAGAGACGAGCTTTTTTTTAAATATCTTCATTTCTTCTAAATTCTTTAAATTTTTCAGAATTAAAAATCAATACTGTATAAAGGTAAAACGATATAGCTTTAAATTTTTTCTCTACGGGTAGTTCTTGCTAGACTTAAAAAAATGCTTGGCTATTATTTCAAGTTAAAACTAATTTGATTGTTACTTATTTGACTCTTAACTATGTTTAATTAAGGAACTGGTCCTGCTAGAGGAAATGGGAAAGTAAATTATAATTTATATTTATAAAATAAAACCATTTCTTTTTTCAGCTCTTCCACCAAAGCCACCTAAGACAATGACTTCAGCAGTAACTAATGGAATGAAAGACAATTCCTCTCTTCAGGATGCAGAATGGTACTGGGGGGATATCTCAAGGTAACCAGTTTTGGGGAAAAAATACCATCTTTTATTTTCTCTGATAATCAGTATTTAAAAAAAAATTTTCAATGTCCCTTTTGTTGCTCTTTTTAGCTGCCTTGTAGTTGATTCCTAACTTAATGACCAGTATAACAAAATGCTGCCCAACTTGTGATTCCTAGAGTTTTCATTGAGAGATTTTCAGAAGTAGATTGCCAGGCCTTTATTCCTAGTTCTTAGTCTGAAAGTGCTGCGGAAACGTAGCATTATAGCATCATGAAAGCTTCCACTGACTGATAAGTGGGCATTTGTACTTAGCTTCATTGGGAATCAAGCGTGGTTTTTCTGCATGGAAGGGGAGGAATTCTGTCACTGAACTACCATTCCCCCAATGTCCCGTTGTTGTTGTTACTGCTATCAAGTCAAGTAAGACTCAGAGCAACCATACGAACAACAGATTTGAATCTTATGCTATCCTGTGCCATCCTTACAATCTCTGCCATATTAGAGCCCATTGCCACAGGCACTGTGTCAGTGCACCTGGTTGAGGGTCATTCTATCCTTTGCTGTCCCACCATCTTTCTAAGCATTATTAGTTGTCATTTAAGGTTAACCTTTAAAAAAACCTGTGTGGGAAAATTTGAAAGTGTCTTGATGCTTTTCCTCCCACAAAAAAAAAAGACAATTATTAAATGATGTGTGTGAGTTTTACCTTTAACACTACATCTCAGACAGATTTCTGAACAGGTGGAGATATTTTTTTAGAATAAAAGATACTTATAAGTACTTATTTGTCTTATATTTCTTTCTCTAAGACAGGAGTTCCCAAATTTTTACATACAAAAGAATCAATTGAGGTAGGCCAAGAAATCTGCATTTTAAAAAACCTCCTTTAAGTGACTTTAGTGCAGATTCTATGCTGACTTCACTTTGAGAAACAGGACTCTAGGAAAAACTTACTTTTGGGGCATAATGTGGTTTGGCTAAGGATTTAATACATTTTGTACAATAAAGCCTTCAAAAGCCAGTGCCTATATAGAGGGTGGAAACCTGTCAGAGAAAGAAAACTCAGATATTTTTCTCTAATAAAAAGCCATAGAAAAAGAATACTATACCTTATGAAAGGCTAAACACTTGTGAGACCCAGAAACACATGTAGTCCCATTGGATTTTGACATGCACAGGTTTTACTGTATTTAAATGAATTAGAAAATTTCAGTGTGGCAAGAAGCTGCACTGTAATCTCGAAGACATGCGGTTTGAAGCTACCAGCTGGTCTGTGGAAGAAAGATGGGCAATCTTCTCCCATGCAATTACTTGCCTCTGAAAACCCGCTGAGGGTCAGCTATGGGTTGGTTCAGCCTTAATGGTACATAACAAATACCAACAACAATAAAATAATCTATTACATTTAAAGGATCAACTACGTTTAGGCCTTTGGTGGCTTAGTGGTAAGAAGCTGTGCTGCAATCCCAAAGGCAAATGGCTCAAATCTACTACCATCTGCTCTGCAGCAGGATTGGCAATCTCCTATGCGATTTACTGCCGAAAACTGACTTGAGAGTCAGCTATGGGTCACTTCTGACTTGATGGCCCACAACAACAACAATATATCTAAATACCATTTAAATTTCTATTTTAGGACCTTGTAGTCCTACTGTAATTCAAGATTATTTTATGTCCTTTTAGTTTTTTTTAGTGTTCTAGTGTTGTTTCTTAAAAGTCCTAAACCAGTTGTTGGTGAGTCTGTTATCAATGTAAATTCAAATTGGAGAATATCCTACTGAATGTTAGGCAATTTAGTAGTTTCCCCGCCTCCCCGATCAGATACAGCTGTAATTGTTACTTAACTATAACCTCCTTTCTAAACAGCTGCTAGTTTTTTCTGGAACTTTGCAAATTCAGAACTGCCTGAAGAAGTCCCAAAGACTTAGTCGAAGCATTATCTCTCAAAGACGGTAAACATCTGGAAGAGTTTAAAAAGCAAATAACCCTTCCTTAGATTGTATAACATGGAAAATAAAAACATAAAGAGCCTGTCTAGTAGGAGGAACTAAATGTCATCTGAAGACCCCAATGATTCTTTAACTTTAGACACAGACATCACCTAAGTAGTTGTTTTTTGTTTTCTAAATCACCTAATTAATTTTAGTAACAGCAGATGAAAATAACTGATGCTTTTATATTTTCATTTTCCTATAATTCCATTCTTCAGGGAGGAAGTAAATGACAAATTACGGGACATGCCAGATGGTACCTTCTTAGTTCGAGATGCCTCAACCAAAATGCAGGGAGATTATACTTTGACTTTGCGGTGAGTGCTTTTCAGCTTGATTTCTGTGTTTTATTTAATCCTTTATACATATATAATTGCACAGATACATAACTTTCAGTTACTTGACTAATTTTCCTTATATTGTATATTCGGTCAACATATACAGTTGACTCTCCATAGCTCTGGCTTTTTCATATGCAAACTCAAGCAATCAGGGATTGGTTGGTGGAGGCAGAAGCAATTAAATCGCCAAGCAGTCTTGCAAAGGCTCTGAGGGAGTGTAATGTGCTATTCATTTAGTATTTACATTCTTGTTAGGTGCCATCCAGTTGACTCAGAGCAACCTTATGAATAATAGATCTGAACCTGGCCCTGTCCTCCACCATCCTCACAACCTTCTTCGTACTTAAACTCATTGTTGTAGTTACTGTGTCAGTCCATCTTGTTGAGGATCTTCTTTTTCATTGACCTCTGTCTTTCCCAGCATGATGTATTTTTTCAAGGATTGGCCCCTCCTAATAACAGCCCAAAGTATGTAAGATGAAGTTTCCCCATCCTTGCCTCTAAGGAGTACTCTGGTTGCACTTCCTGTAAGACAAGTTTGTTCTTTTTCAGTCTATGGAATACTCAATACTCCACGAACACCATAACTCAAAGCCCTATATTCTTCTTCTGTCATAAATAAAAAACACAAGGGAGGGGCCTGCACTTGGGGAGTGAAAGCAAAAGCCCAAGTGGTGAGCTGGGAGATTAAAGATTCTGCAAGTGGAGGAGCATGGGCAAAGCTTGTGGGATGAGCTTGAGTGCAGAGGCCTGCAAACAGGTAGATATCTTCAGACAAAGTTTCTTCTAGGAGGCTGGGGAATTTCGTAGCACATTCTTGCCACAGAAGATTATATACTTGAAACAACTCTTGAAAGAAGACTCTTTCAGTGTGGCTGACTTGACTTCCCTTTAGGCTCCACTGGACATCTCGATCCCAGCTCCCCACCCCCACCCCAGGACGATGTGGAAACAGATAAGCAGGAGAAGAAAGAAGTCCCTAAGTGTGGCTTTCTCCCTGGGAATGAGAAGGTACTTGCCTTGCTTTTCATTGTTAAGCCAGAAGTCTGAACACTCAAAGAGAGGTACATTTTCATGATCTTGTGGATCCAACATGTGATCCCGAAGATTAGGATGGAAATGACTTTGTCTGTGGCAGTTCAGGAGAAAGTGCTGGAGACGGTGAATGCAGTCAAGACCAAAGTAGAAGCCTTTCAGACAACCATTTTTAAGTACTTTTCAGAACATGGAGATGCAGTGACCAAGGCAAGATGAGACAATCTGTAGTGAGTGTGAAGTCATGGTGCTGGACCTGAGGACCTTATTTGTTGAGTTTTGTCATATCAACAGCAACTGGGAGAAAATTGCCAATCCAGAGTGAGAAGAGAAGACATCTATGTACTGAGCTCCTAGGTAGAAGGGAATTAAAGGACCTGTGCTCTATGTAAGGGAAGTGTGGGTACAGCTATGTTTGACCTCCTTTAACTCCTCAAGGGGAATTGCCCCCCTCAATAGCATCCACAACACAAAACCAATTCCCATGAGGTCAAACATGTCCTCCACTTCCTTCTACTAATTTCAGCTGCTAATTACTAATTACTGCTTCACTGAGTCCAAACTCCATTGCAATAGTTGTTACTGAGACAATACAGAAACAAACTCATAATTATGGAGTTTGTTAGGAAAGTTAACAGGATACAACTCATGTTGGCAACAATATACAGTTTCTCAGTTAGGACAGCTTCTGAAGTATGCTTGCCGGGCCTTTTACCTTTAGGTCAGTATGAGAAAGCTTTCTTATTTCTGCCAATTAGAGTGTTCTCTCCTAGTCCTGTGGTAAACTTGGGCAAAGGCTACTAGCTCTGGTTTTGTGGGGCAACAGTTCCAGATAACTTTGCCTAACATCAGGGCTCTGGCTCTCTGCTGTGGCTACTGTTGCTCTTCTGTAGGTCTAGCTGGCCCAAGAATCTCTAGCCCTGGATGCACACTGCATACTCTGCTTCTTTTTTGCTGATAGTGAGATTCCTAAATTTCTGCCACTGAACTTGCTCATTTTAAACCTGGTTTAAATTGGTGAAACCATCCAATCCTCTGCTGTATGATTCCATTTGTATGATCTTTCCTAATCATGTGGCAAAGTCAAGGATAATAGACTAGGGAAGTAATTTTGAAAAATAAAAGCTTTCACTTGGCATTTTTCAAGCTGAAAGAACTGAAAAATTCAAGCCTCGAGTTGGAATACTAAGAGATGCTATGGGCAAAATCTTACCATTAAAAGAAGATGGAGGAAGGGAGCTCTGGTGGCCTAGTGGCAAGAAGCTGCACTGCAGTCCAAGAGGTACGCTGTTCGAATCCACCAGATGCTCTGCTAGAGAAGAAGGGGCAATCTCCTCCTGTACAAGTCAGATCCAATTTGACAGCACACACAAAATAATAATAATAATAATAATAATTTTTTTAAAAGAAGGTGGAGGAATAAATACACAGACTCATTGTACTAAAAAGAATTGACCAACAATAAAATACCTTAGTAAGTATCATATCATCAAGAGCCAACAGTAATGAAGGAAGATGTTCAAAATGCACTGTTGACGTTGACAAAAAATAAGCCCCTAGAAATCTATCAAATACCAATAGACATGTTTCAGCTAGCAAATGGAGCCTTGGATATGCTTGCCAGTCAGTGTCAGGAAATTTGCAGAATAGCTGTCTGGCCAACTGACAGGAAAAGATCATATTTGTTCTCATTTCCAAGAAAGAGAATCCAGTAGAATGTAGAAGTTATCAAACCATATAATTTCTATCACATGCAAGCAAAATGCTGCTATGATCATATAAAAATAGCTAGAATAGTACATAGATAATGATCTGAAGCTCAAACTGGATTTAGAAGGGCCATGGCACCAGAGATAGCATTACTTCTATCAGATGGCTGAAGGAAACAAATACCAGAAGAATGTCTTGTGCTTTATTAACTGTACAAAGGCATTTGACTTTGTGGATCATAGTAAATTATGCTAACATTGAGAAAAATGGAAATCCCAGACACTTAAATGTGTTTATGTGAAGCCTATACCCAGACCAAGGTGCTAGATATTGTTTTTCTGTAAACAGAGCAAGGGAGCACTACATGGTTTAAAATGAAGAAAGGTGTGCCTCAAGATTGTATCCTTTCTCCATACCTTTGTCATCTGTATGCTGAGCAGTTTATTCAAGAAGCTGAACTCTCTGAAGAAGAATGTGGCATCAGGATTTGAAGAAGACTCATCAGCAACCTGTGTTAGGCAGATGACACAATCCTTCTTGCAGTAAGTGAGAAGGACCTAAAGTGCTTGCTGCAGAAGATCAAAGCCTGCACCACTCAATATGGATTGTATGTCAACATCAAGAAAACCAAAATAATCACTATGGGATGGACAGCCTCATGATAGATGGAGAAAGGGTTGAAATTGTCAATATCTTCATCTTACTTGGATTCACGATCAACACTGTTGGTATCAAGAGACAGGAGTTCAGTAGATGTATTGCACCGGGAAAAGTCTACAGTCAGGGACCTCTCCAAATTACCAGGGAGTAATGATGTCAGTTTGAAGAGTAAGGTGTGCCTGATTCAGGCTATGGCCTTTTCAGTCCTTTGCTATATATTTGAGAGCTGAACAATGACTAAAAATGACAGCTTTTCTCTTAGCTTTTAGGCTCTTCTCCAAAAGGAGAAGAGTACTGAATATCCCATGGACTATCAAAAGAACAAACAGATATGTCCTGAAGAAGGTACAGCCAGCCAGAGTGTTCCTTGGAGGCAAAGCTTCTTCTCACATACTTTGGGTATATTTCTAGGAGAGGCAGTTCCCTGGAGAAGGGACATCATGCTTGGAAAGATGGAGAATTGGTGAAAGAGAGGAAGACTCTCAACCAGATGGACTACAGCAGTGGGCTAAAGTATAATTAGAAATGATGAAGATGGTTCAGGATTGCACAGGTTTCAGATCTGTTGTTCATAGGGTTGCCAGGAATAGTATTCATCTCGAGGCACCTAACAGCAACAACTGCACTTATTCGTTGTCCAACTTTCAGATACATAAGAAGCATTTCTAAGCATGACTAAGATGTGGTGTACCTTAGGGTTTTGTCTGTTTGTTTTTCTTATTGTGTACCATGGAATCGCATCTGACTGGTGGCACGGGAGGAGATTGCCTCTCCTTCTCCAGCAGAGCATCTGATGAATTAGAATGATAGACTTCAGGTTTTAAACTGACATCGTACTGTTTAACATGAGTTGTGGGATGACATAAAGAATATCCTTTCCTCTCACCAGGTGTCCTGGTGAGAGTGACATATTCTTTAACCCCATGTGGCAATCTCTGATGCACTGCCGTAATGCCCAGGGAAAATAGGGTGACCTGGAAGTCCAACTACTTCCTTAAGATCATCCAACTTCTGGATGATTATCCAAAATGCTTCATCGTGGATGCAAACAATGTGGGCTCCAACCAGATGTAGCAGATCTGAATGTCCTTCCACAGGAAGGCTTGTCCCTTGTGATAGTTTTTGCATTGAAATTTACATTATTAGAGATTAATATCATTGCTCCTGCTTTTTTCTGGTGGTCATTTGCTTGGTATATTTTTTCCCCACCCTTTTATTTTTAGTTTTTCTTTATCTTCATTTTCCAGGTATATCTCTTGTAGACAGCATATTTGATGGATTTTGTTTTTTTATCCAATGTGCTATTCTTTTCTTCTTCAGTGGTGCATTTAAACCATTCACATTCAGTGTGATTATTGAAAGGCAAAGTTTTATTTCTCTCATTTTGTTCAGTTCTTTTTTGGTTTTGTTGCTAGTTACTTTGGTCCATCCTGCTTCCCGTAGCACCTCTGTTATGAAGGACATCTTTCAGTGTTTTCTGCAGTGCTGGTCTTGTTTTTACAAATGCCTTTAGGTTCTATTTTTCTAAGAATATCTTGATCCCTCCTTCATATTTGATGGACAGTTTTTCT